CTTTAGAGGCTTCATCGTCGCCTGATATGCGGAGGAAGTACCTCGAGCATAAACCCGGTGTGCCCAGGTGCCTTTACTGCCTAGCTTCTGGATTCCCGCAGAAGATCACTAAGGAGTTCATTGTATGCACCATCCATGTTTCTGAACCCTCTGCATCAAAATCAGCACGTTGAGAATCCCAGTTTCATCGATTGGTGGGGTTCCAGAATCCGCAATTTACTTCGTGGTAAACTATCTGGAGCACTATTCATAAACAAGCTTTAGTATCAATTTATCGAATGTTATATATGAGAAGAAAAGCTAAAGAATGTGGGTTCGGTATTGAAGACAAAGAATGAAACCAAGGTTGTAATATGTAACGTTGATGAATTAAGCAAACGGGTGCGGAACGGAGAAGACTGGGACTCGGAACAGTACGCTTTATTCAACTAATAAATCCGGTACACGAACTATAATAAAAAAGAGCTTCATGTAATGTGCAATAAAAAAGGGTGTATAAATAAGAGAACCAGAATATGACACAATATATGTCAAGTAACCCACTTACCATTAGCCACCCCGCTGGATACAACAGGCACCACGTTCCTGTTCATTCTATGCATTGGCATGTCCACTAACTAATTCGACGCAATGATTTCCCCGAATAAATTTGAAAAAGGCCAGTAGTGTTATGCAAGATATCTGCTGCAGCGACATTTCTTTCGCATATCATCAGTTACTTTATGCGAATTACAAATGGACATTATATATGTTTATGGGGTATGGTGACAAATCGATTCAAAGGCGAGATTCATACAACTTCCTTCCTTTTGGTGACCGAGTCCTGAACTGCTTGACATGCGTTTTGCTTGTATACTTAAAACCAAATGTCCCTATGCTATTCTGTGTGTACGTTATTCAAAAAAGTACATTCATATAGTGCAATTAGATTACAAATTTCTCCCATATCTGTAATTGGACTTGGGATTCGTGTCCGCGCATCACTCAATCACCGGAAAATTGTTCGGTACAGTGACGCTAGTACGTTCGCCTACTTTGGATCAATCTGACTCTGATGCTTTGTTCTTCGTTCTACGCTTCTGATTTTTCCAATAGGATCTCACTGTGGTTTTGAATTGCGGGATTATCCAGTTCATTTTGAATATTTGTTTTGCTTCGGGAGTAATTCTGCACATTCATTCATTTTCCAATGCAGTAAATTTGCTTTCGTTTCAGACAGTTTCATTCGCTCGAGATGGAATTGGCTAGTTTAATCAAAATCAATAATATAAATGGGGCCAGATTGTGTGGACCGAATTTCACGTTCTTGTCAAAGAAGCTCGCTTTGACGAATCACTTTATTTTGTTGGTTTCGGAAACAGAAGACTTTTACGTAAGTCCCCCCCCCCATTGTAACCTCCTGCTATGTCCATACATGTAGTTGACGAACTGATTTAAATAAACCCCAGCCATCGAGCACAGGGACTGTACTACTCAGTAGATTTTTCATAGTACGACGGTGTTCCGTGCACTAAAATTACAAGGCATGATTTCCAACAAGCTCTATCCGGTGTGTTTCTGCGCGGGCAAATGCCCCAGACGTTTTACTTTACTGGGGTCGCTGTACTCGCACAGTTCAGCTCGAGTAGGGGAGAGAGAGCAAGTTCCATCTGAATGGTGTGAATCAGTCATCTTGCCAATTTACAAGAAAGGCGACAGATCCTCGTGTAAAAACGACCGACAAATTAGTTTAATCAACATTGCCTGTAAATTTCTCGCTGGTATTATACTCCGTCGATTGTCTATCGCACATGAAGACTGAACGCGTAAGACTCAGGCCAATGTTAGACCACGTCCACGTTTTCACTATTCACCAAATTTTGAAACAGACACTCCTCTCGTAGACCCATCATTTTCAGTTTCAGTTTTACAACCAATAACCATGCACTTTCGTGCGCCGGTTTTGGTTGCGGTCTTTTGGTTGCCCATTTGGATAAAATAGCGAAATGAAGATGGGAATGTCGAAGCAAATTCAAGCGGAAGATGGGGAATACATATGGAGTGTGTTAGGAAAATAACGAGTGGATGCACGAGCGCCACTGTTTGTGACACCCAACCATATCACTCAGTGTCTCTAACCATCGGTGACCATCATCCCGAGGTCCCCAGCCAGGGAGCCTAACGGGGCCTATGCAACCTAGTCTCCTGGTTAGGGTTTTCATACCCTCATGCCAGGTCTTCGTTTGATCACTCTTGACCTTTTTCTAACCGCCACCTACCTCGGCAAACATCACTTGCCTAGGCAACCTATTTGGTGACAGCTTTGACGCTATTGGGTTCAGGCTTATACCCCATGATCGACGCAGTCACTGTGTGGGTTCTTTTCAAAGTTGCGGATAATAGTCGATTCTTTTCACAGAGCAGGGGACCTGCTTTGTGTGTGTGACTTCGGAAAACAAAGTTACCAATTATCTAGCAAGCTTTATTCCACCATCTTTAAATAAAACTGGGGACGTGGAGGCTCTCGGAGCCCGGCGCTTTATGACTTCCCAAGGCTTGGATCTCCTTACGGATTTCAGCCTCCAAAGTGAGACAGACCATGTGGCGGGTGCCGAATTAGCTCCGTAAGAAGCTAAAGCGGGGCGGGGGGNCGCAAAGTGCTTCACTTCACATGTAAGACGTAGCTGTTGATTATGAATGGGTCAGCCGTCAGCTTCGCAAATAGTTTTGCTCACTTCCAAAGCATTCCTACTGGTGACCCGGTGAGATGAAACAGCTTATGGTAGTTTCCCATGGCGACAGGCTGTTTCATCTCTGATGCGCGTTGAATCCACCGGATCTCGCGGTCTCTGCGTAGGCTTGCGTTGAGGTTACATCTCCTAATGGATCGAGTTTCATTATACTTGCTGCCGGTTGAAATTGATCGGCGTTCGTCCAGAGGGCGTAGAGAATTCGCAGAAATCTCCGATCTCCTGGCACGACGTGTCAAACCACAACTAACTAAACCAGCGGAATGCATAGCATTCTTGATATGTGACCAGTGCTGATTGACGTCGTCGGGTGGGGTTCGTTCTAGCTTCTCAACTAGCGCGTTTCGGAGGATGATTAAACAAACTGGTTGGGACAGACATCGTTTTGTCATGCGTTTACAATGACCACCATAGGACGCTAACAGCTTGGTGCCAACTAATGCGTGTTCGGATTCGATTGGATTGCTCCCGTAAGATCGGTAGTCTTGTATGCAGCCCCGCCGTTTGTGACTTGTGATGTGATTGGTCAGCGTCTAGCGCTGACTCGAAGAGAGTCGACGCCAAGTAGAGCGCCAGCAGTTGAATCGTCTGAAGTTCGTACTGACGAGGAATCGGAAGCTAGAGCCAACAGTCGTTGCCTATTTTTTGAGCGACAAGAACCTAGTCCGAAAGGATGAAAACGCTTCAGAGTGCAGAGTCATAACAGCAAGAAAGTTGATGGTTGTGTGCGTTGTGGGCTATAATACTACTCAGTCCAGAGTAGGCCTCACCCGGTGGACGCATCACGGACAAAGTGTTAGCTAGCATACAGAAGGCTCGGTTGGCATTTGCCAACTTCAGACATCTATGGCACCGTCGCGACATCCGGCTGTCTGTGAAGGGTCAAGCGTATGCTGTAGCAGTTCGGCCAGCTCTGCTAGATGGAGCAGAAACTTGGCCATTAAGAAAACAGGACAAAGATAGACTGTCAGTGTTTGAACACCGCTGTCGACGCAGCATTGCACGAATCTGGTGGGGCAACCGGACAAGCAATACTGAGGTCAGGTGAAAAGTCTTAGGTAGTCGCGGTCGCCCACTGAAGCAAGTGGTCGACCTCCATAGATTACGTTGGTTGGGGCATGTGTTACGCATGTCACCAAATAGGTTGCCATGGCGAGCGATGTTTACCGAAGCAGGCAGTGGGTGCAATAAAGCCTAGGACCTGGCATGAGGGTATGAAAACCCCAAACAAGAGTTTGGGTCACATAGGTTCCCTCAGCCTCCCTGGATGTAGACATCTGGATGGTCTTAATCGATGGTTAGAGACACTGAGTGATATGGCTGGGTGTCGTAAACAGTGGCGTTCGTGGATCTTCTCAATTTCTCTAGATCATTAGTCTACTGAACTTTTCAATTTTCTCTTCGATTGAATTATGAAAGCACACGTCATAAAATCAGTTCAATTCAGTTCGGTTCAGTTTGGGGTCTAGGAATTGGCAGCTAGGTGTCAAATTGTCCAGTTTTCTGCTCGGGTGGGCTTTTTGATCCCCTAGTGATTCAACTTTGTGACGGTTGTTTTCAGGTGGTCCCTATTTCCAGCAGACAGTAGATTCATAGCTGTCGTTTCTGAATCCAGCTTGTCACACATTTGCACGCATAAAACCCAAAATTATTAGAGTAGTGGGAAACGGAACACTCCTACAATTTTCGGTCTTGAGGGCAGAGAGCACGGTACCCGTGAAAGCCCCATCACCACTGGGGCGAAGATCCAATCACATGTGGTCATTCCTCCATAATCCATTGAGATGATGATACAGTCGACGCTTGAAAAAATCATCGGGCATTTCCACCACTGTCGCTGGAATGGAATTCCAGTGCGTTGTTAATCGTGAGAGTCAGACTAACGGAAGACCAACAGACATGCTGGGTCGATTTTGTCTTCTTAAATATTAATGGTTGTTGAGGGTTGGAAATGTTTGTGATAACCAACAAATAGCACCTGACAGGTGCTTCGTCCTGTTTGGGACTTGTCCCTGTCCCTGTCAGGACTCGAGCACATATCGCCATCTAAAGTTGTTGATGGTTCCCAGCGGATTTGGGAACTACTGGTAAATCAATGGAAAAATTTTCCGCTAGCATATGCCTAGGTTCTTCCCATTTCTTCCCACTCCTAATCACCCACTTGTTTGAAGGTAAATATTACTGTATATGCCTATAGATCATGTCAGCATTCCTTCTATTTCAATCGGTTATCTGACTCCTTTTCCAAATGTCTACCTTGGCTCACATCAGATGTTACACAAGTCGATTGATGCCGTTCGTCTTTTGGAAGCCGTTGCTGAGCGACGTTATTCTGCCTCTGGTCAGCAAGGATTCACTCTCGTATTATTTACCAAGACGTTTTGCATTTACGAGCTCACTGTACCCACGTTGACCGAGGCTCGTGCTTTGCAACAATCATTGGAGGCGTTGTGCAATGTCGGTAAGTTTCCGTTTCTCCTTCGTTGACGGGGATTAAACAGGTAAACATTTCGGGAACTGTATAGGGATTGCAAGTACTTCTGATGCTTTGTATTGGCTGTATCATTTTGATCAGGCGGCCAAATCAGTCAAGTCTTTGTCGGCAATCAGATGTATTAGAAGTGTCTAATGCTTTGTAACCATTCATTATTGTAGCAAATTAGAAAGAGGAAAAAACTAGACCCAGCCTTGCAAATTATTTGCCCTAAACTGCAACGAACCCGATCGACTTTCTCAACGCCGTGCTTCTCACTGAATCGAGAGATTAAGAAACCAATCCCAATCGACAAGTCCCTTGCAGCTGCTCATCCAGGGGGATTGGGAAACCCAGATTTTAAACCACAGAACGGGCATATAGTCACCGGCCTGAAACTGTAAGTAAATGTATTGGACTACCCGTCCGAAAGGCATATGATTCAACCGACAGTATAACGACCTACAATAGAGTAGGAGGCACCAAAGCACTGTCCCATCATCTTGTATGTCAAACTATTTCGTTGGAGGCTCGGGGAGAGATACATCTGATTCAAAATTTAGTGAAACTGGTACGACTGAAAACTACAACGGTTCACCATGGTGGCACCACAATCAAAATGAATACAAATATTCATTCGTTCGCATTTAGTTCTTCTAAGCTTCTGTAACTTACAGCGTTGGCAACTTACCTGTTCCAAGGCTTATGGTTAAATTGGACGTCGCGCCACAGATCCATTCCGATTCTAGATGTTCAATAAGCCCATTTTGACTGCCATTTATTTTCTTATCACAATAACTAGCAACTATCCGAAAATAGTTATCATCTAGCTATCTTTTAATTACCTTTATGTAAGAGATAGTTGTATAAATGGTTTTCAGGAAGGAGGAGCCGGGCAATGAAATATGTTATGAGATACCAGAAAGCAGAAAGCTTTTCAGTGATGGTGAGTTTCCAACTCATGATATCCGGGATGATCTGCAGATAACCTACCCTGCCCGATTGTCTTCACTCGAAATAATCTTATTACCCTTTGAGCAATAAAACTTGGTGTTATCCAATAGACTTCTTTCGCCGACTTCAGTCTACGCGACCAGCATCGTCGTTGACGAGGTCGTTGATTGCGCTGATCACATGGTCTATTTCATTGTTCTCAGTTCACCAGTCTGTAAGCAAATCTTTCTTTTGATACGGGCTGCCAGTTTGAACAATCATCAACTTGATATATACAAGACCAACCTATGCTCAGAGTCCACGCGGAACACTGGCAGGTTTAGTTCAGTTCATTTTCTACCACCTTTAACCAATGCTTTTCGTGCGCCGGTTTGGCCTACTGTCTCATGATTTCCCACTTAGATGAAGGAGTAAAAAAAAGATTAGAATGTTCAAATCGGTGTCAGATTGAAAATAGAGATTTCATGAAGACTAATGTTGCGGGGATAATGCTTAGATCCACGAGAACCACTGTTTCCATTCTCAACCATATCACTCAATGTCTCTAATCATTGATTACATTGATCCCGTTGTCCCCATCTAAAAAGCTTAACGCGGCCTATGTGAACAAATCTCCTGGTTAGAGTTTTCATACCCTCACGCCAAGTCTGAGTTTGACCACTGTACTTTT